CAGACATAAATGTGCATTTTTGACCAGAAGAGCTCCTAAGATTATCCCAGTCTTGTAACAGTGTAGGATCCAAGGAGATTGTTGACCTTTTTGATTAATGCAATCACTGCCTCTCTCAGGTTGTTTTTGTCTGCTACGTCCTCAGTTGTGGTTTGGAGTAGAGAGAGCCATGATTTGTGTGCTCTCTGGACTGCACACAACTGGAAGAGAGTAGCACACACATGGGACAATACTGGGATTGTTCTACAGACATGAGCATGTGCACTGGTCGGAAAACAGTGGAAGAAATCACAGGGAAGTGAAGGACCGGTGGAAGAGGCCATGTGGTTATGTTGTGACTGAGCTCCAAAGGACAGGAGGGGATTTACCAGGCAGGGAAAGGTTTGCAAGTAATAAAGGACAGCGTGGGTTTGGGGGGCACATATTCCATCAAAGTGATATTAAAGAGCTCACCGTGTCATGTGTGTTGAGACTGGTGAGAGATGAGGGATTCTGGGACTAGAGTTCTGTTGTGGAATAGTCGCACTGTGTGAAAATGTCACTGTGATTGTTTACTAAAGAGTTGAATGGCCAATAGCTAGGCAGGAGGTATAGGTGGGATTCTGGGGACAGAGAGCTCTGGGAAGAAGAAAGGAGGAATCAGCAGCCAGATACAGAGGAAACAGATGTTCAGGAGGAGAGGTAAAAGCCACAAGTCACATGCAACACATGGATGACTAGAAATGGGTTAGTTTGAGTTATAAGAGCTGATGGGACAAGCCTAAACTACAGGCCAAGCTTTCATGATTAATAATAAGTCTGTCATTTCTTGTGAGTTGATGACCCAAAGAAAAATCTGTTTACAAATGGCGCCCAATGTGGGGCTCATGCACAGAGCAGAGTTTAGTTTATAACTGAAGGTAAGGTAGGGGCTGGCAGGAGACTCAGCTCAAGACAGCTGGTTCCTCTAGATTGCTCAGACCCTCCCCTGCTGCATTAGAGACCAGGCTTTCTAGATGTGTATCTTAAACTCTTAACACAGACCTCTGGAGAATGGGATGGTACAGATCATAGATCTTCTCACCCCAAACATGCGTATGAACACAGAGTCTGAGGTCACAAGACTCGGAAGCCTGTTTCAGTGTGCCTGCTTGGGCTTAGGAGAAGCCTCTGAAAGGCTTAAGGAGTACTGTGTGCTTAGGTAGGATTGAGATCCAACTTGCATGCTTCCAGCTACCCACAGCTGAAGAGCCACCGCTGGGCTGGGCATCCACCTGTGTGTGGTTCCGGTGGCAGCTGCAGTAGGCAGTACTACACAAGCTCTATTATTTCCCCAGATTACCTCTCTCTTCTTTCTTGATCTACTCACAGACTCAGCCCCAGGACAATCCTCCCTCTAGGGACCTGAGACAAGAGTTGGAAAGTAGATGTTGAATCTGCTTTTCTTTCAGGTCACCTTCTACCACGTTGCTTTCTGCAAAAACCTTCTCAAATTGTCCAGAAGCTGGAAGCTCCTTTCTCAGTTTCTTTTCATTCCTTTTTTTTTTTTTTTAACTTTTCAGTGTTTGGTGACTTCCAAGAAGAAAGGAAAGTCAAAGCCATTACTATCTTTTTTTTCTTTTTCTATTTGTTATAAAAACGTCTTAGGGTTTCTATTGCTGTGAAGAGACACCATGACCTCGGCAACTATTATGAAGGAAAACATTTCATTGTGGTGGCTCAATTACAGTCCAGAGATTCATTCCATTATCATTATGGTAGGACATGGCAGGCAGGCAAGCATGGTGCTGGAGAGGAAGCTGAAAGCTCTACATTTTGCTCAGGCAACAGGAAGTGGTCTGAGACACTGGGCATGCCTTGAGCATTTATAAAATCTCAAAGCTCACCTCCCAAGTGACACACTTCCTCCATCAAGGCCATACCTACTCCAACAAAGCCACATCTCCTAACAATGCCATACCCTTTGGAGGTTATTTTCTTTCAAACCATCACAACAAAGTTTACCAATAACTTTTAAATATCATGCAGCTAAGTTTAAAGATATGAAAGGCAGTAGAGTGTAGCTCAGAGCTGCTTACCCAGCTGGTAGGTACAAGGCTCTGAGTTTGATCCCCAATCTCCCATCATCATCATAATAAAGATTTTAAGAAAATTTTAGAATCATTTTCCTTACTAATAGCATATCAATATGTCATTTCCCATTCTAATATTCTCTACAAATGTCAAAATACTCAAAAGTATCATGCAATATGGTTCTAACTCTGCAAAAAAAAAAAAACAGGAACAATACCAACTGTTTATGGAAAGATTTATGTTCCTCTGGTCCTAAGTTAGAAACTATTAAATACTCTGCAGTCATAGGAGACTCCAACCTCCCACAAGAGTTGCTTTCTCTCTTCTTCAAAGATTTTTTTGATTTAGTTTATTTTTATTTTGTGCATGTCTGTGTGTACATCTATGTACCAGTTTCACACTAGGTACCTGCAGAGTTACAACTGGTTTGTGAGCTGCTATTGTGGCTACTAGGAATTGAACACAAACCCTCTGGACGAGAACAGCCAGTGCTCTGAGCCATCTCTCCAGCCCAAAAGGATCTCTTTGTGAGGTGGCCAATTGACTAGAAAGAAAGTCGGGCAGTGGTGGCACATGCTTTTAATCTCAGCACTGGGAGGCAGAGGCAGGAAGATCTCTGTAAATTTAAAGCCAGGCCAGCCTGGCCTGCAGAGTGAGTTCCAGGACAGCCAGGGTACACAGAGAAACCCTGTCTCAAAAAAAAAAAAAGAAAGAAAGAAAAGAAAAAAAAGAAAGAAAGAAAAAAAGAAACTGAAAGAAAAAAGAAACTAACAGAAAGAAACTGAAAGAAAAAGAATGACGACAATCACACATGGGTGTGACCTTTATGTCTTTCACCTGTGGCATTGTGTAGCTGGAATCAGAATTTTGAAATCCAGTGGCTTGCTTAAATGCAGGCACAAGAGAAACCAGACATGCAGCAACCAGGAGAATGTCAGGACAATAAATTAGGGGAAGAAATGGGCTGATCTTCCTATTGTCCCGTGGCTCCAGGACACACAGAAACCATTGTTTGTAGCCTGACAGCACAAAAACCAGAAATCACTTTAGGGAAGAGAAACATAGAGAAGGAGGCTTCTATATTACTTTGTTGTTGTTTTCTTGATGGCAGTTTGAGTCCAGACCTAGTATTCCTGGGTTCTTGGCCTCTTATTCAAGGAACTGAAACAAAGGTTCACAGACATTTGCAAAAGTGCCAAGGCAATTTTATTCAAAGTGAAGTGATAGAAAGGGCAGATTACAATGTAAGAGATTAGGGCCTCCTGAATGAGATTATTCAAGGTCTCTTTTCCTGGGATTCTAAAGGAAGGTGGGGCTGCTTGTTAGGGAATGTAGTTCAGATGATTCTCTATTTTGATTGCTAGATTAGGTTATAATTATTTCTCAATTATTTATGTCTTTCCCTTCTTGCAATGCGTCTGACTTTAATCATTGTGTACACCTGACTCTGAATAGACTTTAGATGCTAAACAGGGGATTCTCTCTACACTTGCTCTGAGGACACAATTTTGCCTTATTGAACATGTACCCAAATCAGTTCAGCTTGCTTGGCCCTTCCACCCTGCTACCCAGACACAAGACTACAACCGAATAGGATCTGGCTAAGTTTGACTGTGTCAGGGGAGGAGAAATCTATTTTGTTTAAAAGGGGTGTGCACGAAGCTCAATGTAGGTAGGAGTTCAAAATTGGGTTGCTAGGTGTATTGTTGAGCGTAGAATGTGTATACAAATTGAGTAAGTGTCCCAGGATGTCAAGTGCACAATTGCTAGCAGAGGGGTACGTACATAGCCCAAACTAAGTGTAGTCGCAGGTTGCTGAACTACTCCCTGAGCTTGCCTGCCTCAGATTTGTCTCATTTCCCCAGAACTCCTCATGGAAAGACATAGGAAGAACTCTGCCGCTGGAACGTGGTGCTGTCTAAACAGCTTTGGATCTGTTTGTGGCAGTGACTCAGTCCCTTCCATGTCCCTTGCACATTACAGAATCACCAGGGTGGCTTTGATAAGCGCTACTGTGTGGGATCCATTTGTAGTGATTTGATAAGCAGAGGGTGCAACCTGGGCGTTAGGATCTTGAAGATCTTTCCATGCCTTTCTGAAGCGTAGCCACGGTTGAGAACCACTGTTCGTCTTACTGTACGTGCACATGAATCACCCGTAGATCTCAAATGCCGATTTGAATTCAGTAGGCTGGGGATAGAGCCCAAGAGGATGCATATCTAACAAGGCCCCCTTGATCTAGGCTGATCTAGGAGGGCTACACCCGAGAAGAGGAGGAGGCGAGATCTCTGAACCCATGTTAGGTTGTTAATACCATTGGTTTCCTGGATTCCGTATCTTTGGCTATCGGTCACTCTACAACTCAGCATTCTGATGCGAGTGGTTGACAGACCACTATAGCTGTGAACAGTTCCAGTAGTGAAGATACAGTTATCACAGCAGAATGTTTATGTCCCAAAGTCAAGCGATTTCTTTCTAATCATAAAAGCAGAGTGTCGTATACCTATAATCCCAAACTTGGGAGGCTGAGGCAGGAGGAATATGAGTTTGAGGCAAGCCTGCTCTAAAGAAGTGAGTCCCTGCCCAAAACCAAAACTGAACTGAACCAAACTAGAAGGTGGCAGATAAAATTTTATATGACCATAAGTGTTGTTCAATAAAATGCATGGGTAAAAAAAATAAGAATTACATCAATAAGGATCATTTTAAAAAGACTTATTTTTACTTATGTATATGTACGTACACTCATGTGCATGGGTATGGAGGAGAAAACAAGAAGGTGTTGGATCTCCTACAACTAGAGTTACAGGTAAGTGTAAGCCACCTGATATGGCTGCTAGACACTTAACTCTGGCCCTCAGTACATGTTCCTTAAAAAACAAAAACAACAAAACAATAATCACTTAATTTTTTATTGATTATTTATAAATCTCATATCTCAGTCCCTCCTCTGCCCTTCACCCTTTTATGGCCCCCACAAAGGAAAACTTAAAAAGAAATAATAAAATTTTTTAATATAAATAAGAATATTAATTTTTAAACAACCAAACAAAATCACTTCACTCCTCCCTCCATTCCACCTCTCCATTCATCTTAGTGACATTGGATGCTGCTGTGTACCATCCAGTAGACCCTTTTGTCCAAACAGCTTTACTTGCACAGGTTCATTGTGTAATGTGTTGTTGGTCAGGTTCCAGACCTCCGGCTTCTGTTACACCATTGATACTGGACCCTTACCATAACTCCTCTCAGGTATCCTGCTGTTGCCCCAGTCATGGGGATCCTGTGGCTGCGGTTCCACATTCCTGTTTCTTCATGTGCTCCAGCAGGTCACCAATGGGGTAGATGCTGGAGAGTACCAACTCAAAGCCTTGGATGTGGGTCTGGATGGTAGCTGAGTTGGTCAGTCTGGTCTGCTGGGACCAGCCCCCTCAGGCAAGGGTTAAAGCCAGCTCTCCTACACCCACGGAGGTTGGGGCCAGCTTTCCTAAGTTGGGGGTGCTCTCCTATGAAGGGCAGGGCCAGCTCTCCAGTGCCAGAGTCATAGGTTCAGTTATCCCAGGGCAGGGTCAGCTATCCCCAGGCCAGTGAAGGGTGAGGTCATCTCAGCACGGCCCCCATAGCTCTTGTGGTTCAACACATGGCTCACATGGGCTCCTGTGGTAACACAAACAACAGACATCAACACAGACCCCAGCTACAGCAGGACCACAGACCTAGATATAACCCTTGGGAGCAGCCAGTGCACTAATGTCACCATGGCCCTGGGTGACAGCGCAGGCCACCCCATCTGTATGGCCCTGGAGACAGAGTGACCCTCGGGCACCACCATGGCCCCAGGTGATAGCACACGTTCTTAACTGCTGAGACATTACTCCAGACACACTACTAGTGATCCACCCACTACTAGTGATCTACCACTATTAGTGATCCACCCACTACTAGTGATCTACCACTACTAGTGATCTACCCACTATTAGTGATCTACCCACTACTCGTGATCTCCCTGCTGCTCTGCCCCCACACCGGTTGTTTTTTCTTTTGATTTTTCAAGGCAGGGTTTCTCTGTGTAGCCCTGGCTATCCTGGAACTTGCTATGTAGACCAGGCTGACCTTGAATCCAGAGTTTTCTCTGCCTCTGCCAAGTACTGGAGTTAAACGCCACCACCGCCACTACCACTACCTGGCCTACTATTAGTGATCTTGGTAGTGATAGTCTCTTCATTTTCATGGTTGTCAAGCATTCGATGGTTATAAGCATATACTTCTGTGACACATGAAATATTGCCCAAAGAAATGCCGAAAAATCTGCAAACTAAAAACAATAAATTTAAGCTGGGCAGTGGTGGCACATACTTTTAATCCCAGCATTCTGGAAGAAGAGGCAGGTGGATCTCTGTGACTTCAAGGCCAGCCTGTTCCAGAATCAAGTTCCAGAGCAACCGGAGCTGTTACACACAGAAATTCTGTCTCAAAAACAACAACAACAGCAACAAAAAACGAACAAGCAAAACAGTAAATTAAATGTGTTTATATATCCAATTTAATGCTTAAATTCACTCTTATTTTCTATTAGCAATAAATATAGCTCAAGAAAACTCTCTACTTAGCAAATAATGCAGATGAGACAAGTGCTTTCGTCAGATAGCTAATAACCCACAGAGCTGAGGATAAAACTAGCCACATTGTCACAATGTGGTTCTTTCCACCAAAACGGTCTCTTTCTCTCTCTATGAATATAACATCCTTATTTATGCTGAGTAGCTCAGAATGCTTCTGAACCTGAGTAGCCATGGGAGAAAGGGAAAGCTGGCTCCCCCAAGTAGAAAAAGACCTGAGTTCTAATTTTTATCTTGCAACTAGCTGCATGACTTTGGACACATTGTTTAAATCACAGAGGCCTGGTTTTCCGCTTCTGTGAAATGTGTGTAAAGAGAAATGCTCCCTTCAGAGGTCAGTGTGAGCATGAAATGAGACAGCAGGCATTAAGGGATGCTCTGCCTCCATCATATGCTCCGGGGGAGATGAGAGGGTAGAGGACCCCCGAGGTTCCTCCAGACTCCTAAAGTTGGAGGGCTGTGTTTGGGGAGGATCTGTAGGAACATTTCTCTAGCTGTCACTCTTCACCAGTTCTTAGCCACCTACTAGGCGACAAGCACAAGAAGTCACAAATAAAGTCAGTACAACGGTGTATGTGTCACAATGGGAAAAGGCACAAGAGTGAAGTCCCAAATTGGCAGTAGGGGGTGGGAATGGGGATAAAGTGAAGTCCAAGGAGAAGGGAGGGAGAGGCGCTCCAGTTCCCAGGCTTAGAGGCATGAACAAAGACTGGGTCAGGATGGCTAGAGCCCATGTGGAGAGACAGGTAGATACAGAACCAGGACAGAAGCAGCTGAAGAAGAAACATTTTGTCTACTATGAAGGGCTTATGGCTTAATGTTTGAACCAGGGGGTGATCTACTAGATTTGCGATTGTTTTAAATTAACCTCAGTGAGGGAGATGAGATGGAGCAAGAGAGTTGGGAGATTCTAGCAATAATCCAAGCAGTGGTGGCCGCGGAATCCTAAAGGGTGTACTGAGAGATGGATCGGCCTTAATGACTGTTTGCATGCTGGGTGTGGGCACGCAATTCAGAGAGGAGGAAGCCATACATGGCTGTGACCCAGATAGAAAATGCAAGAGGAGCAGGATTAGGGTGAGAGCCGCTGAATTATCCAGTCCTCGGGTGGAGAAACCAGAAAGGTGGACCCAGCAGACCCAGGGAAACCTAGAAAATGGACGAGTACAGAATTGGTGTGTAAGTGGTCAGTTGACTGATGGGTGGATCCTTCTGTTCCTGACAATTACCAGCCATGTCAGCCTAGCCTAATGTCACAGTGCCCTGGTACTGGGCTCCATCAGAGACCCGGTAATACATCATCTACAGGCTGAGGTGCGAGTCTGCACATCTTCACAAGACTCTCGTTTCTCTAAGAAAAAGGGTCCTCAGCAATTCTAAAGAAAGTGGTAGACCAGTAATCTCCTATAGAAATATATTATATTATATTATAGAAATATAATATGAGCTACTTGTGCAACTTCAGTTTTTCTAATTGCCATGTATTTTCAAAGCAAAAAGAAAGATAAAATCCATTTTAATAATAATTTCAGTCCAACATATATAAAATATAATTTCTTCTCTAATCAATAGAATTTTTACAGAGCTAGTCAACATTCTTGTCACTGTAAGGCTTCACAATCAAGTGTGAATTTCAGTCTTGCATGCCCCTTGATTGAGGCGAGAGATTACAGTGTTCAGTAGCCACACAGAACAGTTGACACTGTATTCGATGCAGCCATAGGCCACTACTCTGCTGCCTGAAAACTACAAAGACTTAGGAGAGGGTCCGGATATCATGGAACTTAGCACTCACCAGGCACACCTGCACTGGTTAAGAACACTGGCTTCTATGGCCCTGTTGTTAGAGTCTGCCTCTAGAAAAAGATGGCTTTCTCCAGTGCTGGAAGGCTTCCCTTTTAATATCTTGCTCACGTCAAATGTGAAATAAAGTGCCCTGTGTAATGATAAGAACTCATGCTTGCACATAAAGAAAGGATTGGGCAAATCTTTTTGTTTTGCAACCCGACAGTGGGCTATCTACTAAAAGATAGATTTGGGCATTTTCTAGGAGACACTGTTGCTTGCAGAATTAGTTTGTTAACCCTGTGGAGATTGCTTCCGGACTGGACAGAATGAGGAGTTATATGTGACATTTTCTGGATAGATAACTTTAAATAGGGCTTTTAATTCCGTGATTTCTTTTCATTGAGTTTGGTAGCTTCCTTTCCCCATGCGTTGTTTATATACATATTTCAGAGACATGCTGTAAGGCCTAGTCCCTTCCTTTAAAGATTGCCCTCTCTAAAGAGTACATCTCTCAGAGTCCTGGACAGAATGATTTTAGAGGCAGGGTCACACCGTATGGGAAAGAATGGCCCTTCCTGTAATTGGCCTGTTGGGATGGTTTGGTTGTGGTCTTACATAATTATAGGCCTGCGACAACGGTCTAAAGGCCATCAGCATATTTCCAAGGCTTCTAAATCAAGGGCGTGTAGTTAATTGCTCACAGGTGTTTTCTGGTGCTTATGAATATATGCAGTCTTGAGTTTCATAAAATTTTGGCAAGAAGAGGGGGACAGGGCTGAGGAGTTTCTTAGATCCATTCAGCCAACTAATTGGATGATAAAGAGAGCCTTCTCCTTCGAGAGCAAGCATTTAGAGGACAACCAAGGACAGACGTGTGTGTGTGTGTGTGTGTGTGTGTGTGTGTGTGTGTGTGTTTTAAAAAAATGTTTAAAAGGAAAAGAAAGGAAGCAGGAAATTGTCAGCACAGGGCTGCTCACTATTGTGGCCCAGCCTGCTCTCTCTCTGATTGCTGGAGACAGGTCAGCACAGGGAAGTGGTACCCAATTTTAAAATGAAGCAGAAAAGTGGAATGTGTCCAAGCAAGAATTTTCATCTTGCTTTTCCTTCTTTCCTTCTTTCCTCCCTTCTTTCTTTCTTCCTTTCTTCCTTCCTTCCTTCCTTCCTTTCTTCCTTTCTTTTTTTCTTCCTTTTTTCCTTTTCAAGACAGGGTTTTACTCTGTATCCCTGACTGTCCTAGAACTCATTTCGTAGACGAGGCTGGCCTTGAACTCATAGAGATCCATCTGCCTCCGCCTCCCGAGTGCTGGGTGTGTGTTAAAAGGTGTGTGTCAGCATCGCCCAACTAAGAATTTTAATTACTAATACTATAAAGTATAAGTCATCTTGTTGGTCCTTCTTTCTTCTGATGACTTGATGGTCATTGTGGGGGGGTTGCCTTGGAGGGGGCAGAAACGCTGATGAGAGGAATTCTGTGTTAAATGGTTATAGAAGCGTGCTTTGAAAAAGCAAATGTGCCATTATCTTGTGACATGGTATAAAACTCTAAAAAATGTGCCCTGCGACCTCTACAGCAATTGTTTGTGCAAATTAGAAAGTGAGAACCTGACAAAACAAAGCTCGTATTGCTAGGCACACCTCATCCTTCTCCTCAGGTAGAGAATAGTTGTTTGTTTGTTTGTTTGAAACTCTGCCCAGAAAACACAGACCGAACACCTAGAGTGACCCAGGTTCTGATGTCAACAAAGATGAAGACAGATTGGTTCCTGCCCTCAGGAAGCGTCATACATCTGAGGAAGAAGGAAAAATAGAGAACCCAACTGTGGGGGCCAAGTGCTAGGGTAGAGGCTTGATGCAGCCAGCGAATTTAGAAACATTTCACGAAGAGTATAACAATAGAGCCAAGTTCTGAGAGATTGGTAAGGCTTAGCTGAATTATGAAAGCCAAGGATTCCAGAGAGAAGACAACCAGTAAATGAAAGACCCAGGAAGGAGGAGACAGAAGCGAGACTGGAGACGCGGGTAGGAATGGCACACTCTAGGATTATCTTTCGAGGGATAAGACTTTAGCTTACTTACAGCCTGGAGGGAAAGACTCGGCCCAGGAGAAGAGATTCAGTCCATGGAAGACAGGATAAAAGAGACCATAGGCAGAACTTGTTCGCACAGAGCAAGGGATGCCCAAATCTCTAAAACCTGAAGGAAGGAAAGGAAGAGAAGGTTGGCTATAGAACAACTTGGAGAGGATTCAGGGGTGATGCTTTATGACCATACATCTTCTGGTGATTTATAAAGTGTTGTTATTCATTGAAAGCGATGGTTTAGTCCTCAGCTATACACTGAAATTATCTCGAAATCTTTAAAAAAAAAAATCAATGCTTGGCTGAGTGAGATGACTTGGTAAAGGCCACCAAGCCTGATGACCTGAGTTTTGTCTCCAGGATCCACATTAGAGTAGAGAACCGACTCCCACGAGCTGTCCCCTGACCTCCACACACAAAAGTAATTTAAAAACAAAAAACCATGCTTAGATTTGATGCCAGCAGATTTAATTTCATTAATCTTGGATAACAACCTAGGAAAGAACTTTTTTAAGGGTTTGGGGTAATTAGACTAAGATGTGGCAAATGAGAACTACTAATTTAAATTGAAGGGATTGGGAGCGCAACAGAGGCTTGGTATCACCACTGGGGCTGGGGGAATGAGAAAGGGAACTCAGAACGGGCAATAAACTACGAGTCAACCTTAAAGACAAAGTAAGTCTTGAGATAACAAATTTGTCAGTGCCCCAATCTGCAAGGGCTTTCCCCCCACACACACACATAGTAGCAATATTATACCAGCAGGGAGGCTAGTCCCAAAGTAGGCTTTGGTGGTTACTAAGGTTGTGGTATGAAAGACCATCCACTCGACCGTACCGAGGTGTGAGTACTGCTCAAGCCATTTCCATTCGGTCTAGCCATGGCTTGGAAATAATGAGACAGGAAGCTCCCCAGGCCCATCCCTCTACAATCCCATATCTATGCTAGTAGATGTTCTAGTCAACAGGACTCTGGGTCAGAAAGGCAAGTAAACAAGCCACGAAGAGATGCAAAGGAACCAGATACTTCCCTACCTGGGTTATTAACTGCCGAATAACCTAGAGGCGGCTGTGTGTGCTTACTATAAATGTGCACAATGTTGTGACATTGAGAACTGCACAGTGTCCGCACCTCCTTTCGGTCATGCAATAAAACATCAGGACCTGTTTATGATGGGTTTGACTTTCCCGAGTGTCGCAGAAGCCACACTCGACCCTTCAGAGGGCTCTGTGGTAGCCCTCTTGCATTCCTGGGGACAGGCACCCTGCTCTTAACTAAAGGGTGACCTCCCCTTGAACTGCTCTGCATTGTACACAGCGAGTCATTGTTCTGGCAGAAGTCCTGCTCTCCACACACATTTCGGCCTACCTTTGGAATGTGGGAACACTGACCTTATATACGATAGCCTGGCAGAGATGTGGCTCCCTCAGGGATCTCCTGACTGGACAGCAGATGGATGGAAGGAAGGGAAGAGAAGGGGAGGAGGAGAGAACAGGAAGAGCAGAGGCAGGAGGTGTAGAGAAGGAACTGCTACTGGTAAAGACTGGCTGGAAGTTATTCTGTAACCTGGACTATTGCTCAATATGGGAAACCTAACTACGCAATGCTCAGTGTGTCCCAACTGCACTTCAGTGAGACAACTAACAGGAATATGCATTCTACTGTGAAACAGATTTAAGTTGACCTACTGCTGTACACGTGCTTGAGACCTTGGGTTTGTCATTTCAGCTCTATCTATCTCTAGCTTTCCTATCTGAAAAAGCAGAAAAATAATAGCCTGGAGCGGTGGTGTACACCTTTAATACCAGCACTTGGGAGGCAGAGGCAGGTGGATCTCTATGAGTTCGAGGCCAGCCTAATCTACATTGTTCCAGGATGGCCAGGGCTATGTCTCAAAATCAAATAAACAAACACCAACATGGGTAAACATACCATTGTCTGCTTTATAGAGTTGCTGGGAGGACTGTACTTGTGAAGCTTTGTCTTATTATCTAGTGAAAACCAAAAGTCACCTGGTGAATTTATAAATGAATTTAGTGATATTAGGATAGTCGTGCTTGTGAGACTAACACATGCGACTTTCAAACGTATGACATTAATGATCTTTTTCCATGCAAATTTGTTGGACATTTATTATATGCCTACATTGAGTTGAAACACATGCAGTGTCTAGAGACCATGCATAAAATCACACATAATATAAACACAACAATAAAATATATTAGTGTGATAAAATACATTAAAGTATAATATTCACATTTGCAAGAGGTTTTTGAGACAGACCTTCTCTGTGCAATTCTGGCTGTCGTAGAACTTACTATGTATAACAGGCTGGGATTGAACTCACAGAGATCCCCTTGCCTTTGCCTCTCAAGTGCTGGGATTAAAGGAATGTGCCGCCATGCCTGGCCATTGCAAGAGGTTTCTCCTGTTGTTGTTTTAGGATTTATTTATTTGTATTTTATGCATTTGAGTGTTTTGCCTGTATAGGTGTGTGTGTATCAGATGTGTGCAGTGCCTCCAGCGAGGTCAAAAGAGGAAGTTGGATGCCCTGCAACTGGAATTATGGCGGTTATGAGTTGCCGTGGGAATTGAACCCAGGTCCTTTGCAAAACAACCAGTATTCTTAACTGCTACACCATTTCTCCAGCCTACATTTGTAAGAGTTTTTAAGACAGTACCCAGTGTTGTATTTGAGAGTAATAATTACTTTCTCTGGTTCCATTATATTACTTCCACAAGCGTGGGTGAAAGAGTTCTCTGGAAATTTACATTCAGTTAAGACCTGAGGATAGAAAGAAACCTGTGTTGCACAGAGTTAGGTACAGGGCAGGGTGTAAGGGAAGCAAAGGGTTTGTATGTCTTAGATATCAACGAAGGCCAAGGCGGCTGGGGCTTAGGGAGCCCCTGGAGAAGTGGAAAGCGATTTAGAGCTACATTCAGGAATCTAGAAGCAGGGACCATTTGCACACGTCTCCTCCCTCTTCAAACACCCCCTCTGGTCACTGTGAGCAAGACAGACAGACAGACAGACAGACAGACAGACAGAGGCGAGTGTGGAAGCTTGTTAGGAGGCCCTGGGTGAGTGACCACTTCCTTGATGGTGGCTTAGGGAGAAGGGAGGAAATGGAGGCAGAGTCTAAACACATTTTGGAACAGAAATTGGCAGGTCTCCATGCTGGATTGAATAAGAAGATAAATATTGAAGGGTGTTAAGGACTCCTAGGGCTTGGGGTCACAGTTCAGAGGTAGATACTTCTCTAGCACGTGCAAGGGCCTGGATCCCAACCTTAGCACTAAAAAAAAATCAGAAATGATAACACCCAGCCATCGAGGCTGAGGTGATGGACGATGATACCACCACTGACTGAAATAGTGCAGTCTACAGGAGGAACAGACCCAGCAGGGAAGGTGAGGCTCTGGAATCTGCTTTCAGAATCATGCAATCAAACTGGAAGCAATTTTATCCCATCACATTCAGTAAAATGTTATAGCATCATTACAAATGTATTTTACAACAAATTGACAGTTGCATCTGTCATTGTGAAACATTGTGAAATCTATATATAATGTGCAAGCATGCATGTCTATATACATATGTATTTATAATATTAAAGAAGTCCAGATGATTCTTGGACTCCCCGTGCATAAGGAATTTCAAATAATGAGGCAAAATCTCAATGGGTTATCCACTGGTTTCAAATTGCCTTGACTGTTAGTTTGGCGCCATTGAACCTGCTGACAGATATTTCTCATGACATAAGTTTCACACTAACTGTTCTTGATTTGATGAAAAATAAAACAGAGAGTCTTCTTGTGTATAAAATAGAAATTTAAACCTGTGGTGAAATTGAGCAATATGAAGAAACACTTATTTTTCCTAAATCATAGGAGGCCAGAATTAAGCATGGCCCTTACATGATCATTTACTGTAGATGGATGTTTACTAAGTCACTGAGCTGGGATTTGAGGTGTTGAGGAAAAGGAGGAGGGGAGAGAAGAAAGGAGGAAAGGACAGGAGAGGAGAAAACCATCCTGGATTTTCCCTCTAACAAATCCGAGGCCAGTATATAAAGAAAAACGTCCCATTTGGAAACATCATATATATGACAGGAAAGATTTCTTCTCCATACCCCAAAAGCAAGTTCTCTGCCCCCACGACCTCACAGAATGACTCCCTATACTTCTAAAGTGCTGGATGGAGCGTGGATCAAGACCACCCTGCACTCAGTGCACCAAGGTTTATAGCAAGTACACAAGGCACGATTAACCAAAGACACAGACCCTTCCAGATGTTTGGGAAGCCCTATGCTTCCTAGCAGCTGACCCTACTGAAACTATGCCAGCTATATTGTATATTTTCTGGAATATCTGAAATAGCTCAACAGCTGGGTTTCATGTGTTTTCATATGGGTTTTAATATTACTCCATTTTTTTAAAAAACGTTGGAAAATGAAAGGAAGATGAATATTAGACTAATAAATAATAAGAGACTAATAGCCAAGGCCGCTCCTTGTGGTGACTAGCCACACTGTCCCAGTAACGAACACATCCCCTATAGTCTGTAGCGCCTCCCATGTTTTCATTCTCAGCGTCCAGCTCTGCCTGATAAGCTATTCACCTTTATGAGCCCCCAGGTCTCTCGTTTGCAAAATGAAGCAACTGAATTAAATGGTCTGCATGAGACTTCTTCCTCAAGCATCTTTCTGCAACTTTAGTGCTCTCCGGGAACGAAGAGGTCAAACCCACCCCATGGGAACTGGCTTGACCGCTCCATGGAGGTCATCCAAACCTGATTTCCACTCAATTTGGTTCGTGCATGCCACTTCTAAATTGGCCTGGGAACGTCTCTAAAAGTTACAACTGGATGAAATAAATCCATCAAGGGTAGCTAATTAGCAGAAATACAGATGCCAGCAGCATCTAACCGAGGGAGCTCCTGAGAGTATAGGGAAATGATTCTCCCCAGACCTCAAGAAAGGTTCTGCGGATTTGGGGGCTGGGGTGATAACTGTGTCTCTTTTTCTGAGAAAGTATGACTCCCAAGAGTGTCCCAAGTCAGAGAGGTCTGATTCTCCTGAATCCTTCTGTTCAGAAAGAAGTTAAGCTATCTCAGTCACAGTGGGCCCTCAACATGGGCTCCTACAACCTGAGCGTATCTCTTGATCCCTAGGGAGGTTTTTCCTGGGAACCTCACCTCTCCCTGAGTCTTTTCCTGTTGAATATTTTTCCTCTTGCTGAACGGTTGCAGTCCCATCCCTTCAGGATCTGCCAAGACAGAATAATAATGTCCAGACTCATATCTCCGCTGCCACGATGGGTCTGAGCTGTCTTCCAGGACCCATGTATGAAGCGTGCATGACTACAGTCCTATAGAGGACCTAGAGACCCAGCTCCCCAAGCCACGCGCAGACACATGATGCTGGCCCAAGCTTTTCGGAGCTGAGCAGCGCACTCACACGTGTCTTGAAGTTCTGATGCCGCTGGAGACAGCCTCCAAGTCGGAAACAGGAACTTGAGGAAGCTGCAGCAGCACCCAAGCCAGCTGACTTGCCAGTTTGCTGATGGAATCGACTCTCTTTGCTGCCCCGGGGCCTTCACAGGCCCACATTCCAGGGCTGCGGTATAATTTACTTTAAACACACAGTGGCATCTAACCATGCCACTGTTTACGTAGCCAAATCAGCACTCAGAGGGAACTGCCTTTTAAGCCTTAACTTTTTGAAGTTTCTCTACACCGCATGTGACTTTGGCAGCCTGGTTATTTGTGCTCGCTGGGGTGACTCAAAGGCTCTGAGTGTGGAGCTGGACGTGTAGCCTCCGCTAGACAACTGCCCTGCCGTTCTCAGTGATCCAGCTTTGCATGGGGCTTAGAGCACTTGAGACTAAGAGCCAAGGCCATTCCTTCTTGGTTCTGAGCTGCCCTCCTGCCACCCACCAAGGTCAAATGACCTCTGGGATCAACTTCTCTAGTGCCACAGCACATCCAGATGACCTGTTTCAGCCAAACGAGCTTCTGAAGAGACCTGAATGTCTGGTTGCTCCACCCTGCAGGGCTGTTCAGGAAGATGGGCCGAGCCTCGTGAGGCCACAACGGGGATAACTCTCCTGGGTTAGTTGCCGCTCCTCACTGTGTCTGTGATCTCTAAATGAAAGAAGCTGTCCAGCAATGACTGTTTTCAAACCATTGGTTTAAATGTATGTAATTTGGAAACAGGAACTTGTAAGAGTATAGAAAAATGTATAACAGAATCCTTCTTGCAACCCACTGTAAGTAGGTCAATCTGATTACGCCCACTTTAAGGTTGGGAAACAGATTCTGCTTAGGCACAGCTTGGGCAGAAAGCCAGCAGAGGTGCTAAAGTTAGAACTGAAAAAGCTTCCCATCTGGGTCAAGCTCAAGTGGTCACAGAGGAGACCCATGCAAAGAGGGTGACCATATCAAGCAGCATGCAAACCAGGGCTGGTTTTAGAACACAGCAGGAATTATTGGCCACCGCTAAACAATACAGTTTGTCTGGCAGCC